AATGACTGCCTTAAATATATAAACACATACAAGGGAATGCTGCTTATTAACTAGAACAGCATGTAAATTGATGGACACCAACTAAGAAAAACTGCGTAAACGGGAAGTGAAATAAGGTAGAAGACCATGGAATTTTCTGGCAGTTGCAATTCTCAAAGCTAAACTTCACACCTACGTCCAACAATGATTTAAGGATATTGAATGTGATTCTGCCCCCAAAACAGAAGGATGTCCCAGCAGTTCTCCTTCCAGGAAAATAAATATGGTTTATTAATGGTGTTGCTGAAAGGGAGCTGGAAATATATGCCTGTCTGCCACCCCGCTGAGATACTGGAAAAGCTGCATTTAATTTAAGGCTTTTGTGCTATCTTTCATTGTACTCCATTGTTATTAGCACTGTATGAGCGCACAAATTAACAAAGGGAATGCAGTGAGTGTTGAACCACACTTATTCCCAGAGCTGTATGGGGAGTCTGCAGGGCTGTGAGGGATGCAGGCAGAGAACGAGGTGTTAGCAATCGTGGGCTTTGCTGGTTTTTGCCTTTTACCTTTGCTCCAGCTCCTGGGATTGGAGAAAGGGGAAATGGCCCGTGAACATTCCCTGCTGTAGCACCCACCCTCTGCAGGGCAAACGCTCCCCAGCAGCCCAGGTCCTGAGCAGTAACACCCTTGCTGGATTTGGGCTAGGAAATGGCTTCTTACAAGGGAGAATTTTTAAGAGAATAAAACAGTTTTCTTGGCTTCAAGATGAAAATCAGTGCGTTCTTGCCACTTTATGGGGGGAAAAATACCTTGGAAGCACTTTACTCTTGTCTGTATAAACATCAGAGCTCATTTCCCCCTTCCCAAGCCTTCCAATCATTTCCAAAGTAAAAGTACATTTAATAATGGTACATAATGAAACAGCTTTTCTTAAGATTTGACAGTGGATTTCCAAAAGCTCCGAAGCCTTTTAGAAATGTGTTACACTGACCACCTCAGTCACTTGGATGCTTTGAAAACTTGACACACTGCAAACACTGCTGCCTGTAAAGCAAGTAGGAAAGGGGAAGGGACAGAGCTAGAAGGATCAGGGAGCAAAACACAATCTGTATCACCCTTCCCAGGAGGAAAGGGTTCCCAAGCAGTGCTTGGACCACGGATTGGAGAGATGCAAGCTGAGCATGGAGACTCATGTCAGCTCCACAGGGCGCCTTGTAGGGCAGAACCGCAGAGGGGCAGCTCCAGGCCTCCCCCAGGTGCAGAAGCCCCTGCTCTGAGCCAGAGGCCCCATGAGCTCTAATCCCCCCCCGGCCGGGGGGAGATCCACGGAGTCTGCACATCAGCAGCTTCTCACTGCCACATTGTATTATGCTGTCAGCAGTTAAAATATATGAAGCTTTTCTCAGTCTGCAGGAGGCCTTCAAAGATGTGAGGACTTATTCGATGGTATGCAAAGGGCAAAGCCCAAGCTGCCTGTTCCAAACACAAGTTTTCACAGTGCAGAAACAATCCCTTAAATCCCAACTAACTCAAAGCAGTTATTAGATTTTTACCATCTCTAACTTGTTCTGTGTCGCTTCCTGTGCAGTCCAGCATACTGATCAAGGTAAGGAAATCTTTTTTTAATAAGAAGCATAAGTGCAAAAGGGGAAGCTGGACATCCTCAGGAAAGAAAAATTGCAGAACAATCTCGTGTTTCCTGATCCAACTGCTATCCTGGATGTAAGAGAGCTGAATGCACAGGCCTGCCCATCCAGTATAGCTGGCTACTTTCACATCCATCATTCTTGAGTGGGCTAAGTAAAGCAGTTTTGGGCTATTGTCAATATGATCTCCTAAGGAGACAGCAGGGCATTTGATAACTGGAGCTCTTCTGCATTCAGAGGGAAGAATAAAAATGAAAAAAGTCTGGTTCTAGCCACCATTTGTTCATCTAGGGGGGGGCATGTGGATCGATTCCCCATGCCAGTCCTTCTCTTGGAAGTTCCCCGTAGCGTCTGACATTGAGTCAGACAGTGACGTCCGTAATTTTTGCAATGCAGCAGTGTTAACACTGCTCAGGAGTTCCAGCTGCCCGAAAGCCAGCAGTGCTGCAGTTAGCAGCATCAACTGGGCAAGGAAGAATGATTTGAAACTACAGCTGGTCCCCTGCCTGCATTAAAACGCAGGAGTGCTGGCAGGACATGCTAAGACAGTCTTCCTCGTTTTCAAGCCCTCAGCAAGGAGGGTCACAACTATATCCATGGGCTTCTTACTGACCTTCAACTCAGGCAGCCTCCTACTCTGACACTCTGGTTTGGAAATACCCACTGACCTTTATATTGGCACGTTTGCTGAGCCACAGGCCTGAGTTCGTTCTCTCTGAGCCGATATGTCAGTCTGCCCTTCCTTCTCTCTCTGGTCCTCCTTCTCATTCTTATAATTAGACATCTGAAAATACTGCTTGTTGGGTGGTATTTCCAGCTTCAGTCATTGCTGGCTCCAGCATAGGAAAACTCTTCTGCATGTGCATCACTTGGATTCTTCAGTGTGTGAACTATTTTCTGTATTGCTTGGGTATTTTAATGATATTTTTATTTTGAATGCCTACGCAAGAGCTCAATTGATACAGCCTGCGTGAGTATGTTTTGCTACATAAACACAATTATTTCTGCTATATACACCCACCCCACGTAAAAAAATGACACTGTAGGCTCACAAAACTATAATGCTTCCCACATGCTGAGCTAACTAGCTGTTTCAATGGATCAAATATAAATATTGATGCAATGTGTGCCATTTTACAAATTGATCATGTACAGAGCATGCTGATTCAACATCGAATTATCTTCCTTGCCTTCATCCCTTCACACACAGAGCCTGAAGACTGTGTCAAAGCCCTGGGTTTTGGCAGCAGAGCAGGCTGTAAGACCGTGCAAATAATACAAAGTCCTTCCCCACCCTGAGGCCTTTCCCACCAGGAACTCCTTTGCTTCCGTTCCTTGGCTGCTTTTTGTGGCTACCTCTCTCTGACTCTTCCAAACTAGTCTCATCTGAACTGATACCTTCAAGCTGACTACATCCTGCCTCTGTTCTGATACGTATAAATGTCCATGGGGTGCAGATAACATCAGATTTTAGATCGAAGTGCCACATCTTTAAAAGAGACATCACGTAAGTTCTAGATGTGAAAGGAATGTAGGTTTATCAGGACATGGTACATTAATAGCTTCCTCCTGGTTGATACTTGGCTGTTACAGCTACAAACCTCTTAGCCTAAAGTCTCTTAGGTGGATAACACAAACAAATGGCTGTCATGTTCTTCATGCACTAACACAAAAGAGGAACAGCAGGACAACAGCATCGCTTTTTTTTTTTTTTTTTCTTTTTCATATCCCACTGTAAAGTACGCTAAGAAAGCAGTAGAATACTGAAAATCTTGTTTTTTTGTTGCTACCCTCTATTCATGAAAAGCTCTGTTATTCTTTCTAGGCCTCAGACTGTAGGCCTGAGACTACACTGCTTCAGATACAGGAATTGAAGAGTTACCCCATCTGGAACATCTTGTACCACAGTTGGTAACGCCAGAGTGTGAATGGAAAATACTCAAGTGAGGAGACAAAGCCAGAACTCCATGCATCAATCAAAGCAAAAAGCTGGTACTGAATACACCAAAAAAAGCATTTGCCAACAGCTGATCCAGTAGACAACTGCAATTTTACCTCTGTTCATTGTGGCCTTCTCTTGACGCTCTGCTCATCTAATTCGGAAAAGCTATTTTTGAACATGTGTCCAGTTTCAAATTTAGGCTTGCATTTTATCCTCATCTATGACAACTGCTTTTAGAAGGAAGTCAGTCTACAACGTTTTTTCTATGCCAAAACTGCCTAGTTTGTGGCTTGTCATCAGTGAATATACTGTAGATTCACCAACAAGTTAAAAATAACTGTGACATGGCAAAACACTCATGACAAAACTAGATAGAGCCCAAACATCTTCACATCTTAAACTGCTAAATCACAGCAAAGACTGCCCATGATCTTCAGCCAAGTTCTGCTGTACAGGATACAGTTTTCAAAGCAACTTTAGATTACACCCTCATGTGCAACCTGTAGTCTCCATTAGGAAGTTCTTTCCTGCTCTCTCTTGGATTAATCCTCCTTTGAGAGGAGCCAGCACGGAGTCACATGCACCATACAAGTCAGCAAAGCAGCTGCTTCTCTCCCCACACTGCTGCCGTGTGACATCTCACACCTTTTTTAGCGCCACTTCTGCCAGGAGTTTGGTGCTAACATTAGCAGCACAAACAGAACAAAGAATGGAGCACCTCAGAAACTGGAAGACGTTAGAAAGTGTGTAGCTACCAATGTAAGCTCTGTGAGAAATGTATGCCAAGTGTGCTTGAAAGGGAGTAAAATCTCAGGGAAACCTTCTCACTGAAAGGCAGTTGTCGCTTAAAGAGAAATAGGAGAAGACAAAAGCAATCTGAGCTGCAGGTCGCTCTGCCCTACCCATCCATCTTCACCACGACCAAAACGTCCCTGGCAGAGAGCAGGGCCTTGGTGAAGGCCGGTGACAGGAGAGGCCATAGAGCCTGTCGCTGCACCCACTTTCCTCATCACCAGCGTCATGGTGCTGCTGCTATTCTCTGGCCTGTTAGAGATTTTCTGCCTCTGAAAAATTCCAGGAGAAAGAATTATCCCTACTAGAAGACTGCGCATTTCAAGAAGAAAAAGTCAGAGCTCTCTGTACATGCGGAACAGGGTGTCTGTGTTTGCTCAGGGGATGGTAGGGGTAAGTGCTGTCATTCTCACTCTGCAATGCTTCTACTAAAACTACAACTTCAGAGCATTGTCCTCATTTTGAGACTAACTCCTGAAGCTCTTGCACAGTTTATTATTTCATCCTTATGCTGGCATGCTTCTATCACTATCAAGAATGAAATGTTTATCCTCAAAGAAACCCTTCTAAGAAAGGACAGGATAAAATTGAATAGGTGTGTTTGAAAATATGTGTTGATGCTTCTCTTCTCAAAACTCCCCTTACAAGGGCTTTTTTTTCTTTGCCACATTCATCTGCATTCATTTTCCCAACAAGAATGCGTGAGTTTCTTTTAGGAGCATTTACTCGTGAAGGGAAAAGAGCTGTTACATTTCCTGGATCGTGTGTTTGCAGGCAGTGATTTCTGCAAACATCTGTTACACTGGAAACGTGTTATTCCTGCCTTTAAAAGCCTTTAACTAGAAGGATTATGAAAGAAAATGAGTAACAGCAATACCACCCTCTGATTTCAGCACTTATTCTCTTCTCCAGGACCCCTGCAATGCTTACTGTAAGGCTTTGTCTACACTGGGTAAAGAAATGAGAAGTGTAATTAAATGAATGTCTGACTAAATTGGTTTAAGAGGTAGCTAGTTAGACAAGTATCTGTAGTAAATGGGGTACAAAGTTACATACAGTGATTCTCAGCACTGAAGTGCATTTAAGGGAGTATGATAAATGAGTACATGAGACTTTCAGATCTGCTCGGCTTGAATTGATCATTTTGCATTTTCTCTCAGCCAGATGCAAACGGACTGAATGTTCTGCAGCTGTCATCACCTCTCTGCACAGTTTAAGGCAGTTGCCCCCAAGTTAGAGTGCAATTTCAAGATGTACCTCCAAAGCTCTGTGCTCATAAAGGTTTTCATTGGAGGGGAGCTGGCTACTGCTTCTCACTGGAAGAGGAAAACATGCATTGCCATAATGTCTGATTTACTGTCTGTGGCTGATCCGAATGTCTGGAGCAGTAAAGCTGGCCAGCCCAGCAATGTCAGTGTGCAGTGGTCAACGGCACACAGCTGGAGGTGTGCAGCTGCCCTTACTATGAAAGGTTATTAATGGATTTCTCACCTTTTTAGGTACAGCTGAAAAGCAGAAAAAAATAAAAAGTCATTTGGGTTCCACCATGGACCTGGCTCCATGCGGGGCACTCAGTATTGAAGAGCATATAAAGAATCAAACCCCTGTGCTGGTTCCCCAGCCACCAATGTTGTTCAGATTCTTCATATGAAGAAATTGGAAACCTTTCTTTATCCTTGTAAGAATATGGTGTTCACTTACCCTGCCCGGAGAGCTCAAAGCAATAGGAATTGGTAGCTCTTAAGCACTGCTCACTAGTTGACAGATGGTGTGCCTTGTGCCTTGCCCTTGAGGCAAACTAGCATGTCTCCAATGAAATTACTGGAGGTAAAGGGTGATTCAGCTAGAAAGCTGTTCTGGTGGCTACAATAGACTTGGTTATAGGGAAGAGAGGAACTCGTAGCACAGGAAAAAAAATCAGGACCAGGAAAAACTTGGAGAAAAAGCTGCCCAGAAGAATCCAGCACTGGCAAGGTTGCAGTAGCTGACTTAAACTTTTTTCACATTACTAATGTGTGTGGAGCAGATTTTGAACACGTGCCTCATGGACCAGACAGAGAAAAGCCACGAAATGTCTGTCCTGTCTTAGTGTCCATGACAAAAGCCTCGAAGACAACTGCTACACACCACTAGGAACACCCATCCTAACTGCCTTCTTTTTAAGATCTTTATTTAAACATTTTATTCTCTTCCTTCCCTCTCCTGGCTCCCTTAATTCATAGCTAACAGAGGTCTACACAACTTCAGCTAAATTTTCAAGGAATTGGAAAACAGCAGCTCTAAGAGACAGGCTCCTAATCATTCAATGTGCTGTATTATCAACTGTTTCACTGCCCAGCAAACAGTGAGGAAGAGATTTATCACAAGGATCACCCCAACACGCTCTAACCTCCACCTCCCTCCCAGCTGCATCTTTGTTGCAAACCATCACCTTCACTCCAAGAAAAAATAAAATCTGAAGATAGTTAACTTGGAGACAGTCAGCTTGTTTGACCAGAGATGAAAGGAAATGAGTATGTTTGGGGCTTAGCTAGTCCATGCAGGAACCACCAGCTCTTGCTGAACAGCAGAAGGAAGCCTGCCCTATGCCCCCTCCAATTTGCTCTCTCTGTGACCTGAGCACAGAGCAGTGCAGATGAAAGGCAAAGGAAACTGGTTTAGGCTCTGCTCCAGGCTGCAGGATTTCCTCCTCTAAACCTACATTCCCTGTTGCTTGGAGGTTTATAATGAAATTTCAGTGAGGAAGGAAAGCTTTTCCTCACGGCAAAGGAAACAGGCATTTCAGCCACTTCTGATGAGCCCTAACAGTAATTCATCTTGGCATTATCTAGTAATACAGGTAATAAAAATCACACAGATGTAAGGCTAAATGGGCAAAGCTAATGCCTCATGCAGCTCCAGTAACCAAAAAGCAATCGATAACGAAAAACGTCCTCAGTATTTCTAGATAGGTCCCAGACAGAGCGGAGAAGCACCATGATGCTGATAATGTGACACAAGAGGCTAGCAACAATTTATTATGCAGTCTGCAGCACCATCATTCCCCCAGTGATTCCTCCAGTAGCCAAAATGGAGCAGTTAAGCAAGCCAGACTTCCACTCCCTTCCCGAGCCACTTGATGATGACACACAACCGACTGTGGTCAGTGAACGTTCCCAGCTGTTCAGCAATAATCTCATATCTTGGGCATTTATCACAATTCAAAGATCAAGAGAGATGTGTGCAGCCCTTGCAGTTGGTCTTGGAAAACAGGGCTGCCCTCTCACCTCTGAGACAACCTCCCAGCCACCCACGTGGATTCTGCTCTTTTAGGACATAGACAGCCAGCCCGTACTATGCATCACTTGAAATAAGAGAAAGTTACTGCACCTGGCACTTGCCATGTACACAGAGGTCAGTCTCGTAAGGCCCGCAGGGAGTTCCATCGAGGACTCTGTCTGCCATCAGCACGGGGGAATCCTTTCCCAGTGGAGAGCAGAAGAGCTCACACGGCTTGTCTGGAAAAAGGAACACACAAGCAACTTCCTTGAGGAGCAGCTCAAAGAGGTGCTTGGGACAACGGCAACTGAGCAATGTAATGAAGGTGCTGCATAAAGAGGTGCAGAACAGCACCTACTGACATCTGGATCTTTGAGGAACATAAGACTTCCAGTATAGGTCTGTCATTTCCCCGCTTCGTTTTATCTATATTCAAAGGGTTAAACTGATGACCCTGGTTACTCACAGGTTACTAAACTGTGTGAGCGTCTCAGACAAAATTCAGGCTACATCAAGTAACTCTAGAAAGACAAACAGTTTCTCCAGTCCACTTTTGCTCTTGATGGGCTGAATAAACTGCCTGCATCAGGTTTCCAGTAAAAACACTTTTTTGCACACGTATTACCTTCTGTTACTTACATTGGTATTTGTAGTCCTACAAACATTTCTGCCAAGAAACTATGCAGATGGGATATCTGCAGAAAGCACTCCCAAATTCATCTAAAATACCTTGTTAGAGAACATTTGCATTTGCCATAGTAGTGGCAAGCACAGCGTTATATATTTAGGCTTTCACTCTGGAAGACCTACTATCGGGTTCAGCTAGAGAAGGAGTTAAGGAAAAAAGCTTTTTAAAGATTTGTGTTATTAACTGGCAGCATACAGCAGATGTCAGGGTTTGCAGACTGCACTTGCCATATGTTTAAGTAACAGATATGTAGGCAATGTAATGCCTTTCCTTTGGAGCCGTCTCTCTGCTGCTCAGACTTCACCCAAGGAAGAACCTACTGAAACTCAAACAGATACATGTTTTGTTCTGCATAGTCAGGTACTCATTAGACAGAAAGGGGAATCTTTGTAAATACACAGGCCCAAGTCTAAATTCCCAATAAAATCAAAAATCTGCAACCCAGCTCATTAACCCATAGAAGCAGAGCTCAAGTGCAGTGTAGAAGATTAGTTCAAGGCTGGCTTGGGCCTGTGTCTATCTTTTATGAGTGTGGTGCTTGGATGTGCTGCAAAAAGGAACCAGTGAACAATACACAGGTCCTTAAATGTGCCTAAAAAAACACTGACACTGGGGTGCCAAACTGAGCTGTTCTCTGCCCATCCTGCTTGAGGAAGGAACTGCAAGTGCATCCTGTGGAGATTCAAACTCCCTGCTTTTTGTATGATGCAAGGCAAATTCTCAGGAATCAGATTTTGATTTCAGTTGGCAGGAGAAGCTGGGAAAGCTGCTGAAAGAGGAGCTTGCAAGGAGACCGCTGGTCTGACCACCTCTGAACAGCCTCTCTTTCTGCAGCTGCCTGTTCTGCAACCAGGCACAAGACGTTTCCAATTTTTAGCCTCAGGTTTGCTCTCTGGTGAGCGTCAAAAGCCAACTATGGATGTACAAAGTTGGAGCTGGTTGGTCTGACCACATGCCATGCTGCAGCCCGGGAACCTGGGCTGCAATGGCTCAGGTGGTGGAGGCTTTGCTGGAAACCAGGTAGAATGCTGGCTATCATCTTTGTCCTAAAAGCTTGGACAGTCCTCAGATGACCACAGAATGCCATCTCACTCCACCAAAAAAACGAAATCGAGAGAATCTTCTGCTATGGAAATCACAGTTGAAAGTCTGGGAAAAAGGACAGCTTTATTGGAATTGCTGGGTTACCTGGGCCAGCTCAAGGCTTGGCACAGAAGGGTTAAGCTTGCAGAATGCTGCTCTGCAGACACTGCCCAAGAGAAGCCTTTGTCCACTTGGGAAAGTCCTGGCGATGACTCAACCACAGAGAACAAGATTCCTGCAAGCAAAAGCAGATTTTTCTTTCTCTCTTTCCTTCTTTCTTTCTTCCTTTCTTTCCTTTCAGAATGTATAGTCTCCCTGTAATGTTCAGAGAACTCCGGAATTCAGAAATGATGTCTGCGGCCCTTTTTATGAATGAGGCAGTTATGATGGATTTCAGCGAAGTCGTCAGCAAAGCACAAGAGCTGCATATCTCGGAAGGAGCCATAATAACAAAATCTTTTTATGCAGGAATCACTGAGAAATGCTGAGCTGCAGTTTCAGAGCTTTGATTATTCCTGAAAACAAGTTGTTTTGATTTCTTGAGAAGGGCTTTGGAAGTGTCCAGCAGGCTTCTGGATGAAGGCTGCTTCTATGATAGATAATATTCCTATTCAAGAAAGCTCTAGGCACTGCAAATAGGTTACAGAGCTTCCTGGCACTCAGGGAGCCCCACTAAATGGGAGACAGGCTTTGCCGCAAGAGAGACCATGGAGATTCAGTAGGGAATATTCTCCTTCGAAATCAGATTCTGCCCTCAGCTTCATGCTCTGAGGTGGACTCTGCCAGCACCCAAAGGAAGCAAAAATGCCAACAAGGATGAAGTGGAATGTGTCCAGTGTAGTCTGGGATGGTATTTGCTGTTTTCTTTCCTCCCCATCCTAAGCCGCTCTGCTAGGTTACCAGTGGGAACAGGTGTAGATATAGGATTTATACAGAAGTGTATGGATGCTTCCTGTTTATTCGCTACTTCTTTCCTAGTAATTTTTAAGATTATCCCTATCCTGACAATTACACAGCTTCACTGGTCTTACAGATGTCTACACATTATCCAACCATAGTATCTCTAAGCAATGCCCGACCTGGGCATTAATACATATATCTATGCATACTGTATATGTACAGTTATTAATACATGTGTCACTGTGTATGTACAGTTCAAAGCACTGCAAACCTGAACAAGTGCTTCAAAAACGATGCACGAACTAGATTTCAGAGGTTTTATGGGCAGAAAAGTATTTGGTTGTTGGAATGTATGTCTTCTGTAGCGCTGCAAATGCATGGACAGAGTGTGAATGCATTAACAATGTGAGTGAATGCACTACCCCAGCACTACACAAAGATGTTCAAAAACTGACAGCTCTGTATCCTCTGTTAAAAAGGCTAAAAGAACAGCAGGGCAGCAACAAGAACAAGTAATTCATCTTTCAGATCTAGCTACAGGGAACATACCGTAGCCTTCACATTGACAAATGGGGGTCTTGCAGATTAAATCAAGATGGGTTGGGAAGCTGCAGTCAAAGAATAGCACAGAATTGCAGAAGAAGCTGAAAAACTTACCATCAATAATGACAGCTGTCAGGAGGCTTTTCTTCTTGTTGGCGTATCTGTCATGGGCCTGGCACTGTTGGTCCCTGAAGCTCGGAACGCCCTTAGGGCAGGGCAGGTTCTCACACACGGTGTGTTCCACGCTGGCTCCCCGGCAGTTCTTCCCGCCTGGCCCCGGGCTAGGACAGACAAACAAACAGAGGTCAGCAAGAGCAGCACAGCTACTCACAGGCAGACCTTGGCTTACATTCCCCTGCCCAAGGCAACTCAGGAAATTTCAGGCACGCTGCAGGTTAAGAGGCAATACAACATGCTATTCACCTGTGAACATTGATCAACCTTCTCAGAAGCCTAAGTCAGGTTTGGAAGGGGTATTAAGCGTGATACATAAAGGCAAACCCTTGCTGTATTTGCCCTTGTCAGGCAGTTTGCAAGTGAATTTGCAGCTGCATCACAAACACCAAAGGTAAGCAGCTATATTTTCAATGAAGAACCTAGGAGCGCCGTGGTTGTGCTGCTCGGACCAGGATCACACCACAGGATCACATCTGTGACAGAGACAAGCAGACCACCTGCAGTCTGTCCCCCTTCCCTTCCAGCTGTTTGCTTTGCTCCCTGCCTCAAGCACTCTTAGAAACAGAGACCTGGAATATGGCTCTTCAGTGCAAAATCCTCTGCGGTTCTTTTTTCAATAGTCCAAAACTAAAACGACCCAGAAGTATCTACAACCCTGAGTAGTGTGTCCAGAAACCTGATCTGTGCAGCACATCACCTCCACCCATGACAACCAAGCCATTTTATACATTTGCTTTGAAACAAGCAGGAAAGGCCACTAACTCAACATCAGGATTAAGCATCTGCACAATCTATTTCTTCTTGCTTATTCCTCCCCAGAGAAGAAGAAAAACTGAAACTCCTGACAATAGCCTGTATTTTGTTTCTTTAGAAAAAACAAAACAACAAAAAAAACAAACCACAAACAAAAGCCAAACACCAGAAGACTCAGCCATTGCTAACGGATTACAATTTCTTTAGACACTTGCTGATACTTTTCTGAACATGTCATATACCCATCTCTCCAGCTGTAATCAGCAGAGACTGATAAAGTCACGGTCTTATTTTTATTTAACAGATGGCCATAAAAAAAAGCAACTCCAGCCAAATTCCAGCTTTTAAGCAGCATGGAAGTTGATTCCAAAGGCTTCTTCTCCCCTCCATCCCAGAAGAGCAGTAAACATCAGCTTTGATCACTCAGCTAATTAGAAAGTATGTGCCCGATTGTCTATCATTCACTTGTGTCATCGGTTTTGGGAACTGTTGCCTGTTCATTTACTCGCTGGCCGGACACTGCTCTGCTAGTTGTGCTGAACCTGGTGAGTTCTGCATTCAGTGCAACACAAGTACCTGATTCTGCAGAGGGGAGGTTCATGCCATATTTCAACCTCGATCCAATTTTTACAGTAGCTGCATAAATCCTAGAACACGAGGGTTGTTTTAGAAATGGCAATGCTGATCTCCAATGGCACTGTAACATCAGAGAGGGTCACCAGAGGAAGGGCCTGAACGAACGCCTGCTTGCACGGCTGACATCTGCTCCGCCACGGACACGTAAGCGGCAGCAGATGCATGAGAACAACGCAGAAATCTGGGGGAATCGTGTCTGCTTCTTTAGCCTGGATGACACAGATGCTCAGTCCGGGTGACTGGAAACATGATGCAAATCACATGAACCCTCCACTCACATAAACACATCAACTTCCTTCCAGCAGCATCTCTTTGGCTACCACAAAATAAGAGAAACAGAGCATAAGTGCCTCTGTGTAAGTGTATGTGTGTAAGCCTGTGGGTGAGAAAGCAAAAGACAAAAGTAGTCAACTTGTCACAGAGGGCTCTCTGCACAGGTGGGTATTACCATGGAACGCAACATACAGCAGGACCACTATGTACTGTGTTTTCATCAATAGTTACTTCAGCTTTAATCTTACAATGTCATTAACACGTAAGGACTTTTCTGTGCGCTTGCCAGTGGACTGGAAGCTAGCAAGTCTCTTTATTGGCAATATTGGTCATTGGCAATAATACAGTCATGGCCAAATCCTTCAGGAGACAGACTTCCTGAGCAGCTGCAGGGTCTGTAGGAACACAGTGCCTGTCAGCCTGAGCTCCTCTCTTCGGCTGTTCGGCTGCCTCCTCCTGATGTAGCTTCTCCCCGGATTAAAGAGCTGGATGCACACATCTGACCAGCCACGAAACACCACCACATCTCACAGATCTGCAAATTGTATCAAATCCAGCTATCCAACAAAAATAATACGGCCGTTAAGACCATCCCACCTCAGACACGATGGTGCTTCACTGGTAGCAGATCACTACTCCCAATGGCCCGAGTCTCATCAGCCACCAGCAGACTGGACAGTTCCCATTCAAGGGGTTCAGGAACAAGCAGATCAACAGGCAAGGCGAGACAGCCAGAGGAGCCAGCAGGACACGGCTCTGTCACGCTGATTATGTTCAGCTCTGGCTCCAGTTCGGTAGGGAATGCAAAATTCCTTCTACTTAACTGACTTCTGACAAGTATTTCACTATTACAGGCCTCTCAGCATGTTTGTATAGGATACTGAGGGCTTTCATCATGCGACATGAAATAAAACCATGCCAGCCGCACTCGCTGGTCTTCTGCAAATGGCCACCTACCACCAGCCTGCGGGCCTTGCTTTCCCTGCTCGCCATCTGCACGGTGGCACTGGGACCCTTCTGTCACTCCACATGCTGAGACCAAGACTTTGGGCAACATCTCTACAAGATTCTGCAGAAGATCTCACAGAGGATGGAAAGGCAGGGCCAACAAATCTTTAAAAATCCCCGCTGCCAAGGCCTGCACACCAGGGCTCTAGCACTGCCTGGGGCTTTCCAACAACCACTATAAACTCAAGCCCATCTTGACACTCCCCTGAAACAGCAACTGTGAGATAGTTCCTTGTAGACAACTTCAGTCGTCTTCCACTGTATTTATGCCAAGAAAATCCACCCACTAATGGAACAGAAGTTCCTAAAGCTCCTTTAAACCACCCCAACTCTTTTACACATCATGAGGGGACTATAGAAGGGGTGGGGATCTCATTCTGATGTTCTGTTTAAGCCAGTGATTTTCTCTTCAATACTTCTGTATAAGGATAGGCCAAAGCCTAGACAATAACATAAGGCAGCACAACTCAATATTTGCACGTGTGAACTGGCTAACACGCTGCCTTACAACCATTTGGAGGCAATACATGCAACCACTGACAGCAATTACAGAAAGGAAAAACCAAATCAAACAGTGAAGCAACTGGTTTAAAAATACTGATAGTCCCACAGGCTCAAAAGTCAGCTGGCAAGAGTATATATTCCAGTAAAGAAAAAAATCCCAAGACCAAATATATATAAAATAAAAGATAAATCCCTTAGCCAGTATTTTTGGACAGTGAATAAACCAGCTGCAGAAGAAATGGGCTGAAGCCAGAAATATGAAGCAAAAGAAGATCACGTGTGTTTCCCCAGCCAGGAATGTATATGAACTAGAGAATTTTAAAATCAGTGTGCAATCTTGGAGGCAGCATTTCCTGTAATTTAAGGAACGATAGTGAATGGATTTAGGTTTGGTCAGCACTGTGGTTGAGAGAGACTTTTTTTTTTTTTTTGTAGTTGACAGCAAAGAAACCAGGTCAGTCGCTTGTTCAGTAAAAAAGATGCTGGCAAAAATCAAGCCTAGATATTGCAGACATGCAGCTTCAGCTCAGCCTTTTTTAAGGAGAGGAATAAACAAAAACATCCCTTTTGCAATAAACACAGTCAGCCAGTGTGTGCCCATCCACTGCCTGGGTACTTCTTTAGAGTGACTGTGTTGCTAGCCAGAATCTCAGCTTCTGTTAAACAAATATTCTTGTGCTTTGTGAAGAAAACCTTAAATATGGATGAAGTGAGAGATGCAGAACTTGGACTGCAGCTGTCAGAACTGTGAGCATTTTCTTCACCTCAAAAGTTACAGTGCACACAAATAGGGGAAGTCATTTAAATGGATACCATGCTAACTTCTTCAGCTCTCCTGTACGAAAAAAAGAGTTCTAAGTGTGCCTCAAATGATCTGAGGAATGAAGGATGCCACGTGGGAGGTAACATCTCTTATGCATTTTCCTGGATCAGCAGAAAGATGAGTCCAAGCAGAGAGCACAGGGTTATTTACAGGCACTGTGCAGGAGCTGAAAGATACCATAGCAGAGGAACCTGCACCCTTCCGTGTGTGGAACACTTCCCTCTGCTCATGCAGCACAACCCCATGCACAGTGTTGGCAGCTCCTTCACCAACACAGCTACATATTGTTAGAGCTGCTGTCAGCCAATCTATTACTTCCCAAGCCCAGAGCCAGCACTGCCTGCAAAACTGATGTGTAAGATGTATTAGCTCAGTTTGGTCTGTAGGTCCAGCTCAGCCCCTACGCATTTACTGAACTGCTGGAGAGGAAACACAGCATCTCTCTTCTGCCAAGCTACATGTCTTTAATTCCATTTAATCTATGTTTGCATCATTGAAATGGGCCACTTCCAGTGCTAGCCCATCAAGCCACTTCCACAGCACCTGTGCTGCTCCCTAAATCCCTCTGCTCCAAGACTGCTCTGGCCCTTCCTGCTGGTGAACACCATGTCTCCCATGTCCTCCGCACTGCTCTGCTGCCCATTTCTTCCCCATCCTCTTACAACAAGTGCCACATGCAGAAAGCAATCAGCAGGATGCAAAGACTTACGGGGGATTGTCGCATTTCCGCTGCCTGAAGCGCACTCCGGTGCCGCAGGTCCGGCTGCACATGCTCCACGGGCTCCACACGCTCCAGTCTCCATCGACGTGCTCGGGGATGGGAGTTTTACTGACACACTCCCCAGCTCGGCACCACTGAAACACAACTGGGTTAATACGGGCTGGAAAGAAGCCCTGGTCCTGCACGGTCCTGCCCAGGCAGAGCTGGGAGGATGTCTCAGAGATTACAACAAGCGTATGCGTAAGGTTTTGGAGATTTAGGGTTTCTGTGAGATGGAGGTGGGACAAGGAGAAAGGGAGGAGGTGGAATGTAGAGATTTGTGTCACGCTCATCCAACTCCTGAGGAGAGTCTTACACAAAAAAAAAAAAAAAAGGCACAAAACTAAGTCCCTTGCTTTATAATACAGATAATTATGTAAGTACTAAGATGCAAACCTACACTCTTTGTAGAAACTGAGTTCAAGAATTTATACTATGAAGCAGTATCTTTGTCAGGAGTATTCCCTGTGTGCATAAAATCACTGAGGTATTTTGGCCCTAGCTTGGCTAAAGTCCCAAGCAACCTTTGAGTCCAATAGGCTGCACTGGCTCCTGACCAAGCAGCAAACTTGGCCCACTATTTTGCTCTATTCAGGATAAAAACCAGTAAGCACTACAAAACAGTCTTATAAAAGAATCCCTGGGACTCCTGTAGATAGAAACACACATATTTTAAACCCTTTTTCCTCAATTTCCCTGCCATGCTTTCCAGGGCCCAGTATTTTTTGGGGAGTCCGGGGAGTTTATCTTCCATTGCAGGCAAAGAGAATATCTCTAATCTCCAACTCCAGCACCAACTTTTTATTTTTTTTTTTACCCTTTCTTCCTTCTGCAACCATGTACCATACAATAAGTATTAGAAACCAAGACTAGTAAGCAGGGGGACTGGCCCTTGTTAAACTGATTCAGTTACTTTGTAGCTTAATGAGTTATGAATCAACTATCCTGGGGAAACGAATCTTGTGTGATTCTTAGCACATTCTCAGGGCTGAGAATATGAGAATATGTTTTCAGCTACCTCTAGCAACTCTACAGTGTTTTAAGTAGCCTTTTGCTGCTCCTCCATCCTCCTGCACTCCCAAAATGTCAGTTTAAATCCTCTCCGTACTCCATATCTCAAACACAGCCAGGCACATCACTTCTGTGGCTTGCACTCCAAAATATCTCTGTCTGGAAAGAGCGCCTGCAGCAAGGAGCAGACGTGACCGAGCTGCTACCTGCCGTGGCCCACGGGCTGCTCAGCCCCTGCACTTGGCCCAGGGAGGAGCAGCCTCTTCCTGCACTGCCTTGACCATAACAACTTGACCACTGAGGTCTCCAGAGGCTACTGGAATACACATCATAGAAAAGCAGAACTACCTAACCGAATCCAGCTGTTAATTGAGCAGTTTATATAATGGAATCGGTATAAAATACGGGTTTATGGCAAATACTGAGTATATGAACATCTTGGAAACATTATTTCACAGACAACGCTGGAAAAAAACAAGCTCACTGCTGCTGAGCATTTGATTACCTTGTCTGCGCCACATTCAGTGCCATCCAGAGGGGGGTCCAACTTGGTTTTACAGGATGTATCTCCTTCCACCAGGCACCAGAGCCCAGCACACATCAAATGCTGCAATCACAAAGCAACAAGGTGCAGTTACTACTTCTGGAGACGTCAGCCACGATTAGGGGGTACATTGCAAAGCTCCAGCAGGCTCTCTCATGTGAATCCAGAGGCATCTGGCTGGTTTGGGAGCAATTATTTTTAAGGAGAGAATGGCATTAAGTGGTGGGACTGGGAATATAAAAGAGATTGATGGATGTCATTGTCAGGACAAAACAAAAAAAACCCCGAACAGAGAGTGCGTTATTTAAACAAATTTATTTTCACAGAGGTAATTCTGGTCCATTAAAAGACACTCATATGGGAGGACAAGCTGGGTGCTTTGGAATCATGCTTGGGTGTCTGAGCTGCTTAATGACTTGCGTTTTTCTAAAGATACTCAAGTAACCAAGCACTGTAAAACACATTCAACCTTGCTGTAACCTCTTTGTAACCACAGTAGCTGAAAACGACCTTTGGGAACAGCAGGTGTTAAGGAGAACCGCAGAAGGGAACAGGATTTCATGGCTGTGTCACGCAGCAGAGGAGGAGCTTGGGGACAAGCTGCAGAGCGCAGCCCGGCAGGGGCAAAGTTGGCAAGTTTTAGTGCAGAGGCAGCTGCTAGAATCCAATGTGCTAGAGAAGGGCAACAGTGAACACCAGGGCAAAGACAGCAAGAGGCACCTCGCTCCCAGCCTGGAATTACGCTCTGGGTATCGTTACCCAGCCCCGCAGCTCTGCTCCGCTATGCACATTACAGAGATATTATTAATCCTGACCACACTTGCGTGACCTGTCAGATCAATAATGTTTTCAGAATCTGAGAAAAAGAGCTAGGAAAAGGGGCCTTTACATCGTTAACATTTTCCACAGCATCCACCGTGCTTTGCATTCCATGCAAGTGGATGATTTCAATAGAATGCTATAGCTTCGAGGACCAAAAGAAGAAAGAGAAGAGTTACATTTCTTTCCACTATTGTTCACGTTTCCCTGTAATGGTAAAAAGATGAGAAGCTTGACTCTCGTGCCAGCTGGTCTTGTCAAGATTTATTGCACCTCATTAAATAGTTGAGTCAACACACTTCAAACTTACGGTTCTTTCAGGATGTAACGTAAGGGAGCGGGTGCCTGTGCGTTTTGTGTACACGCGTGTTGGTAACCCTACGTAAAATAGAGTTGTACTGCAGAGGCTGCAGACGAGAGAAATCCCAATAGCAAGAGCGAGGATGTAAACCATACCGAAATAAAACGGTTATCACAGCAGTATCTGCATCCTGTTTTATTTCCACTTTTTTTCCCCTCGAAAGAGGATTTTGCACTATTTAAACCAAAAGAACACTAGAAAAGCTAAGAGCAGATGGCACAATTCAGTAACATCTGTAGCAACCACAACATAAAAAGCTACCACCAAACAACAGCAAATACACCAGGGAAGCCTAAATCAATGAACATCAAGACCTTTTCCCCAACTAAGAGAGCATATGGGAAAACACCAGCTTTTTGACATTTTGACTGAATGACTGTGACTAATTAGTGGTCTACCCACAGCTCTGAAAGCACTTAGGCACCAATTAGCCACAAGGACATCACACACTGTTTTACAGATAGGTACACAGAGGCAGAGGATTTGGCAAGGGAGAAATTTTACAGCAAACTGGAAAATCGATAGTTCCGCACCACAGCTCCCACGTTCTCAAGACCACTTCTTCCCCGCTGAGCACTCAAATCCAGAAGGACATCCATTACGTTGACCTCAAGTGTTACAGAAAGAACACTCATCTAGGCAGTAAACCTTTCAAACTGAGAAAGCTGTTTTCCCACAAATGTCCAATGGCGCAGAGAGGACGCCTGCTTTCCGAGATGCAAAGCTACAGCATCCTTAGATCTGGTTAACTCACTGGGGTGTGAAAGCAATGGCTGTTCTTTATATAACATTCCACATATGAACAATTAAAAATGAAGTAAGAACAGTTAAAATGCGCTAAAAGCAAGTCACAGACCTAAGACCCACAGGAGGCCCTAGCCACGGTGCAGGAGGTGCTACGTGCAGCTGCAGGATGGCATTAACAGCAGCCTATCAACATGTCACACTTGGTAAATGCTGGTGGCTTCTTTGCCACTCCAACAGTGACTTGGAACGTCCCACTGAGAAGCCAAGGTAGGAATTAACTGGCAATCTGGACTCTCTTCTCACTCCACGCTTGCGGGCAGGGATCTTCCTAAGCAGTATCGGCAGTGCCTACTTCCAGACTATGGTTGGGGATTAAGTAAAACGCAGCTTCTGAGAGGAAGGGTGCAGACAGCCTGGATTGCAGCCTGACAAGGCTTTGGCCCCTCTCTGAACATGCCTACAAAGTTTCAAAGTTAAATGTCATGAGAAGCCTTTGAGCCTGATCTCTTGAATGACCCAGACAGAAATTTTGCTCTGTGTTTCCAGAAGGAAACCCTTTGCTTCTGCTTTCTGTCAGAAAAAACCTCCTGGCTGAAGATGCAATGGAATTCATTCAGAGAAGTAGTTCTAGACGCGAACGAGCGCCGGTGTGAAGGATCTGTGCCCTCCACATGGCCAAAATTTGTTAAGCTTCAGCTTCGAGCCCCTTGACCTTAAGCTGTAAGTAAATTACTCAGGGTTAAATTCTCTGCTTTAATGTAAAACTAGGAGGAGGAAGAGGGTTGGTGGAAACAGAAAGTCGTAAAAATCAAGCGTCTCTTTCGACAATTTTGGTTGCCAACCAGAATTCCTCCATAGCCCACAAGAATGTGGAGGGTGATAAAGTCACAGCCAACGTGCCCAGGTAGGAGCCACGGCCTGGGGGAAGGCGACGGCAGAGCCAACCTCAGCCAGGGTGGGTCGGAACCAGCACCGCTACGGGGCTCAGCCCAGCCCATGGGGACTGCTGGGTCCAGGATTCACAGACACGAGAGCAGGGGTCTGCAGGAGTGTGCTAAGTGTATACGTGTATTTATACGGATGCGTATGCATAGATATAAAAGATATACACAGAGATAAACAAAGAGAAACATCTCTCTAACACCAACCTTTCAGAAACTTCCCGTCTGTGAGGTATGGAAAACATAGGATTTTTATGGCATCCTTGTGCTGATTCCGAATACTAAATGCAAAGCATATTTCAGGAAACAGTTATAGAAAAATCTGGTAACTGTGTTTCAGCTCTGTGTTCTAGTGCCATACCACTACAAAGCTCCAATGCTCGTTAGTGCAGGCCCTCGTATTTAATGCAGCGTTCAGATACCCCAGCAAAGATTAAACCGGCAGCTTTGGTATTGTACGTTCCCAAGATGTTTTATCATGTTAATAGCTCATTTCAAAGGAGATCATATATCCTCCTCAGCTACACTATAAACCCAAACAAAAACCCCCATTAAAGAGTCCCACGGTTAACCAGTCACAGTGACTGACTTTTTAATAGTTAAATAGCCAACTTTGCTGGGAAATATCAAAGTGAGAAATGGCAGGACTTGAAAGGAGTTGCTTGTATATATGAGTGGCAGTTCAGAGCTCAGACTGATACAGAAGAAGGCATCAAAAGGGCTGCACTGCTGCTAATTGTGAATCCAGCAGCAGCTTTTACAAGGCAGGTCTCTGCCTGCACAGTCTTCCCCACAGCAGCCACAAAGGGGAAACCATCAGCGCCAGCTGGGATTTTCCACTGGTAGATACTTTTCACTGGAAAAATATTGATTAGCTGAAGCTGCTTTGGGGGGAAAACAGTTCATCTTTGGATCAACTCCCACTTGAAAATTTCATTTTTTAAAATTCAAATGCCCGTCCTACTGAAATTACACGATCAGAAAATTAGGAAAGCAAATCAAACTGGAATGTCTCTAACAGGGGACAAATTCTAGATTCTCCAACTGCTGCAGAACTGGAAACCTTGTCCGCACAGTGGGCAGGGAGCAGTCCAGAGAGGTCCCAAGCCGGAGCGACCTGCCAGGCAGGCGGGAGACGCCTCCCATTACGGATACTATAATGGCGCCTATAGGAGAAGGGGCCCTTGCGGTGCCAGGTGCTCTCCCGTCCTCAGCGAACGTGTAACCTAAACACCCGTCTGCGAGCCTGCAGATAAAGGAGACTCTTCCTGCTACAGGTGGGAAGATGAAGGACAGAAAAGGATTAAATGTCCTGCTCAAAGTCACCTGGGGCACAAGCAGGATCTCTTGTTTCCCTCACTTTAAAAATAATAAATAAATAAATAAATAAAACCCTGCTCCTGCTGCCTGTTGCCCACTGGAAAGAGCAATTTCTTCCTTCTGGCAGCAGAACTAAACCACCATGAAACCAATTTTTCTGTCAAAATGAAAGGATTAGGAAGAAGGGCTTACAAAGAGTAAACACCCCTAAGGAAGTGGAACAAGAGAACACATAACACAGAGGCCTGCTTATAAATAGACTGGCTGTCAGTGAAACACCTGATCTCTCATTTTGCTATGGTTTTGGCTTGGCATGGAGCTAACTAAGCCAGAACATGCCCCTCTGCAGAATCCTAATTAACACCAATTAAGCGCAATACTGTAGTAACACGCAGCTTGCTCCGAACCGTGTGCGCAATGTCCTGAGGGCTCACAGCACGCCTCTGCACACACCACGGTGAGGAAACCCGGGCCCACATTTCCTACCTCGTTGCCTTTGATGTGGGGGTGTAAACACAGACACCCTACAACGGCTCACAGAGGTGAGTGCTGCTCTCTGCTCATGCTGTTAGCTGGAGCTTGTTGCTGTTGAAAACCAGGTGAAAAGAGCTCAAAAGCAGGCTCTAAAAATTCTACAAAATTGGATGTCACTTTTGGAAAAGCCCCGCACACTGCCTGAGACAAGGTAGCTGGGACCCATGTGTGAACCAGCTGCTGATCTCTCCCCAGAACTGATAATCTAAGAAACAAGCACTGGGTTCAAAAGCAGAAGCATCCGTCCAAATGAAAGAATGACAAGGGCCATCCTGGATTATTCAGGCAATGACCAATACCCACTGATGTCTATAGTTTATTTACAGCACTAGGTCATCATC